TCTTAAATTGTAGTTTACGCATCATTAGGAAAGAAAGTACTAGGAAGATATTTTCTAAAAGAGAGAAAAGCAATGTGTATCAAGCGAAGGCTTTTACTAACTATTTTTGTTATTGCTGTTTTTGTTATTTCTTTAAGTTGAAAAGTAATTTGAATATTTATTTGACACTATTTGCATCGGTAGAACATAGTTCAATTTGATATCTACTGTTATCGTAGATAAGACGCGTAGGGAATATGAATAACATATTATCCGTGGTACAGACGCAGCCCGCTGTCGCAGCGCTCGCCGCAGCGCAACCGCAGCCCCGACTCGCGCCACGCGCACCCGCCGCCCTCCATGCAGACTGTACTCATCTCCGACGACGATCTCAAACCGTACGTACACACACAATTACCTTATACATCGGCTAATACTGTTAACCTGTCATAATTCACTAAATATTTTTTCAGTGACGATATCTCACCATGGAACTCTGACAACGACATCGAGTCCGTGGCGTCGGTGTCGGAGCTGCGCCCGGGTCAGTCTCGCGCGGGCAGCTCGTCCCGCGGGTCCAGGCCTCCGCCCCCGCGGCGGCGTCTGTCCAGCTCCGCCAGTAGGACTGCACCCCCCGCCACCGACGGAGACAACGTTGTGGCCACACTACGCCAACTCGTCGCACTCGAAGATTATCTCGGTAGCCTGGGACCTCGTATCGTGGACTTATTAGCCGAGGCCCTCAAGATGGAAAAGGTATTATCATTATAGAAAGATTTCTTGTATACCCAAGGTGGCATACGATAAGGAAAAACAAATCAATATGTATGAGTTGTACATAGTACTCTATCAGAGAATTCTACTACATGACTATCTAAAATAAAATAAATACCAAGAAAACACCAGAAAATCTATTAATCTGGCACAGTCGGTAGTCTTCAGTCGACTATTGCATGCCCCACACAAAACTTTTGACCTTAATGATTTCTCTTTTTACGCAGGAAAAAGCGAACTCTTCGGAGGCGTTGTTGGACAGCGAGAAGGCAGTCGTGTTGATCGAGACTGCCAAGGAGAAGCTGAAGGGCGCCGTGCAGGCTGGCCTCGTCGCGCCCGCCGCCGCCGCCGCGCTCCGCGCCGCCATCGTCCGCGCCGCCGCCACGCTGCACGAGGCGGACAAACGGGCCAAGCGAAAGCAGGAAGCACAGGTATCTTACAACATTTCTGTCTTTCAATACACCGAAAGATTTCAAAGTAATCAAATTAAAACAAAAATGCTAGACACTCGCACTAGTAATAAAATATTTTTCCAGAAACCTGTTGAACCGAGCAAACCTGCAGCAGTTCCAGTAGCTGGCGTGGGTGAAGTAGATCGCGCTCAGATCGCACAACAGATGGCTGAAGCTTTGATAGCTCAGGGCAAAACAGACGTGTCTTCGGAAGACCTTGCCGCACTTGTGGACGCCGTCGTTGGTATGGCGGAGGCGAAGAAACGAGCTGCCGAAGACGCCAAAAAAGCTACCGCACTATCGATCATGCAACCAACACTTCAGTCAGTGAAGACATTGACCCCGAAGCCCAGTGGAACTGCGTCAGCATTGCAGTTACTGCAGTCCGCGTATGATGATAACGAAAAGATGTGAGTTGACTGTCATTTTAAGGTGTTTGCAAAGTTAGGAAATAATTTCCAAAAATTTTCCGCCAAAAAGCTAATAGGTTTGAAAAGTGACACATAGCTTTTTACACTTCTTCTCCTCCTTCAGACATGATCTTGTGTAACATTACCAGCTTTACATATAAATATTAATATTTTTGTCAAACTAGGATGGACCAAAGCATATCACATGCACCTGACGCTATGGATGGACTGTCAGACTCCGACCTTGAAACCTTACTGAAGAACTTCAACGAGTTGTCGGCGGAGGAGCAGCACAGCCTGATAGCGTATCTCAAGAAGATGGAGACCAAGGAGCCTCAGCGCGTCGAGCGCCTGCGTCAGTACGTGAGTGATGCGGCCGCCGTCGCGCCCAAGGCCGCGGTCACAGAGCCGCCCGCGCCACAACCCGAGCCGCCTGCGGTGATAGTCGAGAGCGACGACGATGACTATACTGTCGAGGAGGTAAGAGTACTACTTAATTACAGACAAATTACTAAACAAGGCGAATATGGTATATTTTTTGCCTAGCTCTATCCCTATGACTACATAATGATTAACGTCATTAATTCATATATGCTTCACCTTCAGGTATTCCAATCGGCTACTCAGAAAGTAAAGGAAGATCAAATACGACAGGAAATGGAGATTGTAAAGAAATCATTAGAAGAAACAAAACCAGAGTCTCCAGCTGTAGAGGAACCGGTGAAACTTGAGACTACTCTCGCGGATCTTACCAAGAGCTTGTCCTCGGCGTCTGACCTATTCGCATTGGTACAAGCAAGCTTGAAGTCAACCCCAGCCGCCACACCGGCACCACTGTCGCGCTCTCCGAATGTAGTAGTCAGTAACACACAACCAAGATCGTTTGGGGACCTGCCGGAATGTACACCAGCTATCCAAGAATCTCCAAAGTCACTAATGGAAACTGCGCCAGTTAATACACCAGTGACTTCTTCATTTAACTCTCCACAAGCTCAAGGACCGGCAACAGGGCTTCCGTTCCCGAGCCAACAACAAGGAAACCTGTCCCGTCCTCCCATACACCAGGGACCGCCACAACTGCAGCAACACCGCCCGCAGCAGCTGTTTCACCAGCCTCTGCAGCAAAACTATCAATCGCCTCAGCAGCAAAACTATCAATCACCTCCACAGCAAAACTACCAATCACCTCAACAAAACCAACCTCATTATAATCAACAGAAATACCAAGGTCCCCAACACAATCAGGGACCACTTAACCAACAACACAATCTGCAATCTGTTAATCAGCAACACAGTGACTTAAACCCCAACAACCAGCAGCATAATCAGTTAGCTCCTAACCAGCAACACAATCAACAGTTTCAACAACACGGTCAGCCTCAGCATCAGCAACAATACAGGCCGCAACAACAGTATCAACAGCAACATAATTTTAACGACAATAGAAACAAGTCAACTGAACATTATAATCCACGCCAATGGAATCCTCGCCCTAATAACCCGATGGATAACAGAAATTCGGCTACCAGGGGACCTGCACCTGATAACGTTGGATCCAATGCTCCGTACAACCAGGTGCATAGAAATAATTTTATGAATGGCAGGGGCCAAGATAATTATAACACGCGGCAACAAAATCCTATTACAATGAACCAACAGTTTGGAATGTACGACAATAATCAACATAATTTCAGAGGTCGGGGCCGCGGTTTCTCAGCACCTATGAGAGGTCGTGGAAGAGGCTACTATTAAAACTGTTTATTTATATTCCCGGTAGAATATTTTACTGCGATTACCATTGCGATTGCCTAAATAGGTGAGCACTAAGTATTTGTGATTATTAATATGTATGTATTATGAAATAAGACCTGCGATGAACTTTTGTTCCATAATATTTTAGTTTTATCTTAATAAAAACGCATTTTAACTTTGTAGTTTTCTTTGTCTGCCCAGAATTGTGACGTTATTTTGATTCGATGCAGAATGATCTAAACTTAAATACCGTAAGTCAAGCCATAAGGTAAATACCTTGTATGTAGTTCTCAAAGAGTGAATGATATAATTAATTATTGCAACTATGTCACAATACGTACAGTATAATTCTAATTCATTAATTTACAATCAGATGTGGTTTTGCAGATAATAATTAGCATAAAAATTCTGCAGCACGTCAATAGCTGCAGACTGGACTCCTGGCTGGCTACGGTGGTCAACTTCCGATCCACTAATTAGGATATTTCCAACAACTGACCCTTCTTCTGTAGTGCGCAGGGTACCTAGTAACCTAACCATCGTGATTAAACTACACGTGGTTTAATTGTATAACGTCCAACAAATCAGATAGTTCGTTTTTCGTTTGGGCGTCTTGGTTTCACGTTTTTTCTGAGAATCCATACAATACCCTAGCATGTTATACCTTATTAGAAAGCTGTGAAATAGCATAGATATTTTATCAAACATCTGCTGCAGACCTGCCATTGTTTCAAAATATTTTACTAAGAAAATTAAAAGTTACCATAAGTTTATTTCACTTTTAATAATCCTTCGTCTACTAAGTTTACAGTTACTTGTGAATTTATGATTTAAAATAATGAAGTACCTAACTAATCTTCTGCAGTCTACACAAAAATAACAAAAGCAGAACAAAATGATTACACAAAATAGAAAAATCGGGGGCATTCGACAAAAATCTGGAATTTATATAAAATAAATTCAAAGGTAGATATCTCGAGAACGGAACTATAACTTCACGCCTGTCTTCCATGGGTACCCCCATGGAGTGACTATGGAACGCCAATTACTATGATTCCTTCATACCTCTTTTACTTCATCAATCCTTTCATGCATGCTTTTAATTTGGCCCTTTAATATATCGCCAATCTTGTCAGTATAATTATGTTATGCATGTCCGTCTAGCGCGTCCTCTACAGACGGCCGCATCCTATACTTATTATACTATTTGGGCCCTATATATATCCGCTCTGTACAATTCTTTCGTTACTTTACTTTGATCCATCCTTTATGTCCAAACCAGCGTAACATTCCCTTTTCAATCCTTGTCACTTCATCATCTTTCAACAAAGCTCTGATAACACTATTTTTCACTCGATCACTCAATTTTACTCCACACATACTCGTCAGGGATTTTTCACCGTATTAATTCTGGTTTCATGATGGATACTACCACCTCTTAAAGGATTTAGGTCGAGTAATCTGTAACCAGGAAAAGACTAAGTATTCTAAATACGACGACTGACCTTCAAACCTTCAAGAAGAGCGTATTTCCGTATTTAACTCGGTTTTGTAGACACAATTATAGAACAATAGGTTGCGGTCACCGGTGACCGCTTGGTGTTTGACAGTTTAATAAGAAAATGATATGGTATATGCATATTTTATTAGAATATATACATTTTAGTTACTTAACATGATTGTAAATATTAAAACTAATGTTAATAGGTGCCCATCTCTAAAAGTGCATCTATTTGTTCAGTCTCAGGTAAAATGTCGATTTCAATAGGTTCCGACTTCACCTTACTACCCGATTTGGGATCTAGTGTAAAGAACCTGAAGAGTTTCGATAGGTTTATTATAGAGTATGCAGATTGTGCCAGCCAATCTTCTACAACCATTTCTTTCAGCTGTTGGAAAGCATTTGTGATTTGTGGTGTTATACGAAGTTCTGAAATAGAAAAAAATTGTTAGATATTCTTATGTACTACTAAAGGTATATATCGTATAAACAAATCTACTTACTTGAATTGTTGTTCTTGCTCATATCAAACAAATATAAAAAGAAATTAATTTGCAAGTACAGGTCCTTCTCAGTGTACTCTCTGAACATGACGCCTTTCTCGCATGATCTGCACAGTGGATACCCACCAGCGAACGTTTGTGGCAGCCGTACAGTGCGGTGTCCACACGCGGGGTCCTCGCACGACAGCCAGCCCGCGTAGTACTGAGCGTGGTATTGTCGTATTTGGAGACTCAACTGGTTTTGAATACTTGCTAGGTAATCCACTGGCCTCAGAGTACATTTATCGTTCTGACATTTATCTAAAAATGTTATACTTTCTTTATCTAGTTTCACAACTGCTTCTCTTATTCTGTTCTCAGTTTTACAACTTTCATTAATACACACAAACACGAAATCTTTGCATTGTCTGTATTTCTCATGTTCGTTTTCTACTTCATAGGTTTCAGTGTTTGTATTATCTCTTCTGATTATCTGTCTGTATCCTGAGGGGTCAAGGCCAAGACAATCGGCCACTCGGGCCGGGTCCATACCTTCAATGGGTTCACATATTCTGGATATAACAGGATGTAACTGATGCGCTAGATAATAATTAAAATCAACCTTAAGATGCTCTAAATTCTTCAATTCTTCAATGTGGTAAGCTCTCTGAGTCGCCGAGTTAGCGGTTCCGTCTTCACATATAATGTAAGGTACAACATCTCCCTTCTTAAACCGCCTGCTGTTTTTAATATTCAGTCTTAGAGCTACTTGTACGTGAGGCTGCGTGTGTTTGTCGGCGTACTCGTTGGGATTCTTTGTTAGTTGTTTTGTTATTGTTAACATTGAAAGAGGCATTTTCCCACTAACCAAGTCGTCTTTAAGTTTATTAAGATGAGTTTGAATGCTCTCAAGCCTCTCATCTGCAGACTGTTCTGATAAAATCTGGCTTAATATGAATTTTCCGGCTTCTGCTGCAAGTTGCGACCAATCGCGACGAACTATATCCAAACCCTTATGTTCATGTGTAAACACAAACTCACCATTCTTGTTCTTGGTGACCAGCACAGCAGCATATTTCTTTTTCTTTAAAAGAAGTAGATACCTAAACACACCATCTATATCAAGTTCGATTTGTCGATATTTTTTGTTAATCTCTTTCTTTAAATCTACACCAATCTTGAAAACATTATCGTAATCCAGACAATTAGTGTTTATCATCAGACTGTCAGTATCACCATAAACTACGTCGTAATTAGACTTTTGAACGATTTCTTTTGTGTCCATGAGGATTTCTCTACCTTTCATGGTCACTAAGGCTGCGAGAGGTTTTGCATAAAATCTGGAGTGCGTGAAACCGAGACAACCATACATGGAGTTAGCTGTGAGCTTCAATGCCATTTGTCTGATATTGTACTGCATGTATTGGTCTTGTGATAAATCTGGTGTTTTCATTAGTTTCTTCACTTCTCGTCTACTCTCCACAAGCTTGCGAATCTGTGTCGGCAGAACACCGAGGTCTGTGTTAGTTTTCGGCAAAATGAGATTGGTGACATCATCGTCAGAAGAGGAGGCTGTCTTCCTTTTAATGGTGGTGAAGCAAATATTGTATTCTTGAATAATACTCGGGTACAACGAGTTGAAGTCCATGAGCAGAATAAGTTTATCATAGAAACCTTTTTTCGGATCTAATACAAGTCCTCCGGAATACGCCGCTTTTTTCTTAGCTTGCTTTTTAGATGTATTATTGGCGCCATCGACCTGGTCGTCATCGTCGTCAACCGCTGCTTTCTTCCCGTATACCTTGTCAGGTACAATGTAGTTCTTCTCAGTGAAAGCATGAAGCAGTAGGAACTCGTTTCTTTCGGATCTACCGCCAAGCAAAGTTCTCGACATGATGTTACCAGCAATTTGCGTAATTTGCAAGGCTAACGGTATGACATTCAATTCACACATCATTTTAAGAATGTAGGATGCATCTTGCATGCTTAGAGACACAAGTTGGAACAGATCGTTGCTGTTCTCATAATACCGAGGCAGATCTTCGAGTGCTACTTCGACACGTTCGCCTTCTTTCATTTTTAGTACGTTTACACATAAAGTATCGAGATCGAAGCTTCTGGCTCGAATTAACTCCATAGCAGATATTTTGATGTCGCAAACTAAGCGACCAAGGAATGCGTCCTTTGCTGCGTATTTCTTTTGTGGAGCAACAGATCTCTTGAGCCGCCCCAATCGAGACCAGTTGGGTATATGTAGGTCGAGGATGTTGCCTATCAGTAGATCTTGCTGGAACCCTTGCAGGTCATGCCCTACAACCAGGTCTGGGTCCAACTTCCAGAATTGTACCATGAAATAGTTTAGAAGTTCTCGCTCCGTGTCACATTTTGTTAGTTTTGTTGCTTTATATTGAGGTAGAGCCTGTTTTAGATCAATGGGCCAGATTTCATTGCATTTAGTCATTACTGAAAACAAAAACAAAGAAATTAGACATTAAAAAAAGATTTCGTTACCAATACAAGTAGATTAAAAAATAAAACTTACCACAGAAATGTTGTTGAAATGGTGGATTTGGTGGAGGCTTGTGTAAGTGAAAGTTAGTGTGTGACAAACAGCTCAACATCAAGATCTTTGTCTTCCTTGTTTTGGGATCCATTGCTGTTCTCATGTTTATCTGGAAATAACCATGAAAATTATTACACAAGACCATATTTTTTTTAGCATAACAACAGTATGTTGAGTAGTTAAAGTCAACTTACAGTAGCTACAACAATAGGCGGGGGTTCCAAGTCTGTGTCATTCCTGATCACCGTGATATGTTCCATTTTTTCACAGGCAGCTTCCAGCTTGCACCACGAGACCTTAGCTGCGACTTGCTCCGGCATTTTCACCTCCAGCCAACATGGACCCTTTATTTTACGCTCTAGTAAAAAGGTCTCGAGAGAAGACGTGTTAGCGCCGAAGATATGAGAGAACGTTAGGTACTTCTTGTCTTTTGGAGGCGGCGGGAATGAAGCCTGTCAATATGTATTAAAGTGATATTTGTATTGATACTAATTGTTTCAAAAAATAAATAAAATGTAATCAATAATTATGTAAATCAAATATTTCTTTCTATGAATGTTACTTACAGAATATCTAACTTCTAAATAGTCAGACTGTGCAGGTATATCTGGTAAATTGAAGCAGTAGCTTCTAGTGACCTTCCGTGACTTGAACTCCTTGAGGCCCAGCTCACTGGCCACTGCACTGTTGAACTCAGCATACATGTCCATCATAGTCACTTCCTGATCAGTTGGCTCTAATGTTACTGGATCCAGTTTCTACAAAAATAATAATTAAACACACAATTAAACAATAAATATTAATAACACCATGGACATATTAGCAGTTTTATATACTTACATACTCCCTGGGTAACAGGAACATTTGCCTGTTAACATTCTTAACTACAAGACAACAGGAAACACAACCTGCTTTTTTGTTGGATGGATTGGCATAAACTTTACCAAACAAGTACACAACTCCTGGCTTCACAAACCTGTCCTCCCAAGCGTCAAGCCAGTAGAACTTAAGGATTTTCTCTCCACTCTCATTTGTTTGTAGAGGCAGCTGCCCATCTACTTGCACTGTGGCTGCCACTTGGTTCTCACCCATTTGGTCAGTCCAGGTACTAGTCAATGGCTTCAGTTGCTTAGGAGACTCCTTTTTAGTTGGGAATATCTCAAAATCTTCATTTAAAAACTCCTCAGCAACATCAGTTATAGTTTCTGCTGTGCTGGGCAGGACTTCTTTCTTCATTTCTACTTCAGCAGGTTTTGGAGTGGTGTCATTGCTAAAATCATCATCAAAGTCCAGGTCTTGTGTGTGGAACTCCTCTATATTCTGTGTGGCTGAGTCTTCTATTTCTTCTTTAATCTCTCTATCTATTTTCCACTCTGTTTTCTTTGGCACTGGTTTATCTATCACAGACTTTGAGGTCTCACCATTTTGTGGCTGTTTATTGGGAAAAATAAGGATTAGTTTTATGTTGCTTTACTTAGATTCTCTGATGTCTTACATTCTATACCAAAAATTAAATAATTTTAATTTAATTGTGAGAATAATTAATTGTAGACCTATGAACTTACAGTTACATTCTTTTCAGCTGGTTTGTCAGGGGAAACAAGGTTTTCTTTCTGCAAAAAAAAAGTTGAATTCATTAACTGTTCAATCCCCAAGTAGTTATTGTATTATAATAGACCTTATTTACAATGTTCAGAGACTACTTGTGTAACAAATTTAGGATGATATATCAACATAATATTCATATTTTCGTGAATATTGTATCATAGGGGCAGTTTTGTAGAGATATTGTTTAAACTTTACATGTGGAATCATGTATAAACAATATTTTGAAGTGTTTACTTACATTTTCCACCTTCACAGCTGGCTGATCCTTGCCAAGAAGTGTAGTGGTAGGTTTCTTGGCTGCTGAAGATAGGCTTTTGAAGTAGTTCTGTGCATCCCTTTTACTGGATTCCACTATACTGGTCTTGGTGACCACTGGCTTTGGTTTCACTGCAGCAGATGCATTCCCATCCAAGTCTGACATGATATCTGACAGAATATTGTCTTCTGATATTTTTACATCCTGAAATTATATTACACAATCACATTATTGAAACTACTTCTTGTATGATGCATTGTAATAATTGCAATAGGTTCAGACAACCGACTTTTTCTAAAAAATACTAGCTTTTCGTACAACAGTTGCATTACAATATTTACATCATGAAATAAATAATGAACTGCAAATGTATCAAATATACCTCTTTCTTCTTAGTTGGCATGGAACCTAATAGATTCCTGATATTGCCCTTGGAAGTGGGTGGTGCTACTCTAGCCTTCCTTTTCTGTCCCCGGCCAGACTCCTTGTTGCTAGAAGCCACATAAGTATCTTCAATTTCATCATCATCGAATATTTCCCTGCCATCTTCCACGTAGCCAGTCCCTGTAAGAAACAAATAAGTAAACCTGATGATATCCCATACTTAACATAATCTTGTCCAAGCTGGTAAGTAAATAAACAATTGTAGAAGTCGTAATGTCATCTAGCAACTGTGGTAGTGTAGGAGCTCGTGTACAAACCATCGTCTTCTATCCAGTCGTCCTCCTGTCTTTGCATAACCCTTTCGGAGTATTCCCTCTCGTCCACCGTGTCGTAAACATTTTCCATTTCATCCACATCGTATTTGTTCTTCACACCCTTGCCTTTCAGTTGTTTCAGTTTCTCAAAGGCCGATAACCGGCCGTGTTTGTCGACTTTCTGCCTTTTGGCTCTTTGACCAGCTAAAAACAAAGGTTATTTGATCTCATTGAATAACACATTTCACCTAAAATATCACGATTTAATCAAGATTTCACTACTCTCGTTTTTACCTAAAGAGTCAGCCATAACTGTTTTATAATTTTACACGCACATCAACAAAATAACAGAATCTATTTTACAATAAAAAGTCAGCAAAACTTATTACTTTTGTTTTATTGACATTTGATTTGGCGGGAATCAGAATATTAAAAAAATGAAAATAGTGTTGGATTGGCAAACCTTTGGAAACTAAGTATTGTCTATGCCTCTATGGAACTTGAGTCAGTGAACTTGAGCTTAGTTCTTACTGGTTCAGTTAGGGACATCTCTACTCTTAACGAATGTTTCCGTTTCATTTCGCGCCAATTATATCAAACTGTCAAACGAACAAGCTGAGTACTGCGGTTATTTGTTGCGTTTTATAAAACAACTGGGAAAACTTGTAATTAATTGTTTTGTTTCGGTTATATTTTTATCATAAACTAAAAATGGCTATGCGTGACTATGCAGCCGATAAAGGTATTAAAATATCGGGTTTATTTATTTTGTTTGCAGCCAAATCTAACCTAAAATAAAAACCAAACATCGGTGTTCTATTTCAGAATCTTTTAAGAACTTCTTCATAGATTTTTGTCAAACTGATGATGAAGGGAATAAACAGTTCAAATACTCAGATCAACTCACCAAGGTTGCACACAGAGAACAAGTAAGTAGCAGATGTTCTTTGATTTTTATTACACACGAAAATACTTTCCAATACCTACCTTCTTAAGTCCCCCTGAGGACGCCAACTGACATGATTTTATCCATTATAACTATTACAAGTCTGTAGTTGAGCTCATAACTGATCAGTTAAGAAAATACATTTTCAACATGTAGTATGAAATTTCAGAATGCTTTTGTGGTGGACTTGGATGATTTACACGATGCTAACGAGGAGCTGGCGGAGGCAGTGCGGCAGAACACGCGGCGGTACACCACCATGGTGTCAGATGTTGTGTATGAGATGCTTCCAGACTTCAAGCACAGAGAGGTGACCCATTCACAATCCCATTTAGCTAACAAAGAGATTTACATAATGCATTGGATGCTCGATATTAATGTAGATACCACTACATAACTAGAAAATTAATAAATCTAACTTTTTCTAAGTATATAAGAGTCTTACCTATTTATATATTATTTTTTAAATGTGCACATAAACTCTGCAGGTGATTGCCAAAGATGCACTGGATGTGTACATAGAGCACAGAATTATGCTGGAGGCCAGGAACCACAGGATTCCTGGAGAGATGAGGGATCCCCGCAACAGATACCCTCCGGAACTCATTAGGAGATTGTAAGTATATATCTTAATAAGAAAATGTTTTCTTCGCTACAGAATGATATATGGATAATGATGTAATTAGTTCTAGACTTCATTGCATATTTCTAGTGTAAATAAATGATCTAGTTAACAGATAAAATAGTAATATCATGTTATGTTAGATTTAAGTCCATTAATATTAAAACATTCGAAATATTGACCACATAAATATTCATAGAGTACATAACAATTTTGAGAAAATAATGTTAATGATTGTGTAATGCTAGTGTTGGAAGCATAATATAATATTATAATCTTTATAAAAAAATATTTATCTCTCAGTGAGGTGTACTTCAAGGACCTGTCCTCATCAAAATCCCTGCCAATCAGAGAGGTGAAGGCTGAGCACATTGGCAAACTGGTCACTATTAGAGGTATGACTATTTGTTGCAGTTAACTTACACTAGAGCAGTAATGCATGATTCTTATAAGAAAGACACTACAAATCAACAAACACTATTACTGTAAAAAAAACCAACAAGATATTATCTTTTTTTTTTAATAAACATTGCCCCTCACTAGGATTTTCTCCTGTGTCGTGGGTGTGTTTACAAATCTATATACAAAACAATAATTTGTGGGTTACACAAAGAGTTGTTCCGAGTGGGAATTGAACCCGCGACACGTTGCGCGGCAGCCCGTTGCCCAGCCACCGCAGCAACCGTGCAGTCAACTTCAATCTATATTAAGTTTTTGCCCCAGAAAATTCTAAATATTTAGCAATATGTATTTGCAATTGTAAAGTAACTCAATTCTTATGAACATTCTTGAAGTCATGTAAAAAACCTGATTATTAATTAATGCAATTTGTGTCATATAGTATTTCTACACTTATTTGACTTTTATGTTCCCTAGATGGCATAGAGGGAGTATACAAGTCTTTTCAGTTTTTTCAATTGATCCCGAGTGTAACGCTTTACCTCACTCCACGTCATACTGATACTGTCCTGTCAATGGTATTAAAAGCTAAATATAATGATTGGCATGGTGCAGGCATAGTGACGCGGTGCACGGACGTGAAGCCGTTGCTGGTGGTGGCGACGTACTCGTGCGCGGCGTGCGGCGCGGAGACGTACCAGCCCGTGCGCGCGCTGCACTTCACGCCGCCGCCCGCCTGCTCGGCCGACGACTGCCGCCTCAACAAGACGGCCGGACAACTGCATCTGCAGACCAGAGGCTCACGCTTCCAGAAGTTCCAGGAACTTAAGATACAGGAACATGTATGTATTGAATAACTTTTGTTATTATTGAGTTGGTAGTTTTAAGGTTCAATTATGTGTACCTGTTGTGCATTGTATTGAAAATGTATCACTAAGATAATGCTAGTATAACTTTTGAATAATAAAATTGAACTGAATGATTCAATACTTTGTAGAATCATCGATTGATGATCATCTTCTTTCTTTCACTTAGATATGTATGTATAAGCAGATAAATTCATAGTATTAGTAGACTTTTCGAATCACACTTTTGATTACAGATTTTAGTACCTCTAGAATTATAAATATTTATTGATATAACAATTTGTTCTAGTCTGACCAAGTGCCAGTGGGTCACATTCCGCGTCAGTTGTCTGTGTACTGTCGCGGAGAGACGACGCGCCGCGCCCAGCCTGGAGACCATGTGGCAGTCACTGGAGTCTTCCTACCACTGCTCACTTCCGGCTTCAGACAAGTTGTGCAAGGACTTCTCTCTGACACTTACTTGGAGGCCCATGTAAGTTAATAATGATGCTTCACTATTTCCATATCATGCTGAGTTTCCCCAAGGTTTGGAGGTGGGTAGTCTGTTACAATAAATTAAGATAATTTTACCAGTGGTGGTTATATGACAATATTCTTATTTCTGTATTGAATTACAAAATGTATTTCATTTCATACAACTTCATTGGATAGTTATACTCTCGACGACACTACTTATAAATATAATAATTATTAAACAAATATTTATAAATAAACTTACCTTTTTAGTCAGTGCACTGCCTGAACCAGTCAGACGAGAGTGAGATGGCTGAGGCCCTGACGGAGGAGGAATTGGCAGAACTCGCGGACGAGGACCTGTACTCACGCATGGCGCGCAGTCTGGCGCCAGAGATATACGGACATGAAGACGTTAAGAAGGCACTGTTGTTGTTACTAGTAGGAGGTGTTGATAAGTAAGTTTTGTTACTCAATAGCGCATCTATTTGTAACTGGGGCCCTTCTAGTCAAGATCATTGGGTGGACAGTATCTGTATAATGTATGATTTTGTAATCACAATTCACCAGTTACGTTTAACTTACCCCATTGAATAAAGGGGATTTTTTCATGTGTTTGTCGACTATTACTCGTTTTAACTCAATTGTTTGGAATAATGTTGAAAATCTAAAGAAGTCAGGAGAAAACACAAGTAATAAAAAGTGTTCTTTTGTATCGTATAGACGTCCAAACGGCATGAAGATCCGTGGCAATATAAACATATGCCTGATGGGTGACCCTGGAGTGGCGAAGTCTCAGTTGTTGAACTACATCGACCGCCTCGCGCCGCGCTCTCAGTACACCACGGGTCGGGGCTCCTCCGGGGTCGGACTCACTGCCGCTGTTATGAAGGTACGATGTCCTTACATACGTAATATCATGCTTATTGTATTCAGGAAATATTGTAGAAGATAAAATATAATAGTATAACTAAACGCCACATGCAATGTGTTTTCTATTTTGTCTTATATATGGGCAATCAAGCAGTTCTGCCACTCGAAAGCGAATAGTCGCACACCAGTAATCAGGCAAGCACTAGTCAGGAAAACCAAAATATCCAATAATGGTCAAGCTAATTAGAGAGGAGCATTATCCTGAACACTATCGTACCTGTCTCCTATCGACATAAGCAAATAAGTCACCAAACACCAATCAATATGGTTCTAGCTTAATTACTCCATTCATCTGCATCGAGTCTGTTTCTAAGGATAATGTATAATTTTAGGACCCATTCACTGGTGAGATGATGTTAGAGGGTGGTGCACTAGTATTGGCGGACCAGGGCGTGTGCTGCATCGACGAGTTTGACAAGATGGCGGAGAACGATCGAACCGCCATACACGAGGTCATGGAACAACAGACCATCAGTATTGCCAAGGTATGTTAGTATCGTAAGACCCAATGTCATTCAATCTGTTTATTAGTTTAGTTTAAGTATTTTTTCAACAAAATCGCCAGTAGTACAGTGTTATGAAATATCGAAAATCTCCAAATAAAAGCAACCAAGTAAATAATATCTTCCGAGAAACTGCCAAGATTCATGAGAAATGGCGAAATGTACCTATCAGATGCCAAGATTCCAGTTTAGGTCATTGAGTTGCGGAGAACCTAACGGGTTACCGGGGCTCCGGCTCGAAGTGCAGGAGAAGGAATGGGGTGGTTTTTAGTCAGTGTGAGTCTGACATTCCCTCCCACGTCACCCGGGCGGGATTCACATCATTGGATGATATTCCCGCCTTAAAAAAAGTTTAGGTCATTGAGCCAATATAGAATAAGTATGCCCTGCATGTTGATGTGTATAAGGTAGTAATGTGTGCGTGGTGTACCAGGCGGGTATAATGACGTGCCTGAACGCGCGCGTGTCGATCCTGGCGGCGGCCAACCCTGCGTACGGCCGCTACAACCCCAAGCGGACCATAGAACAGAACATTCAGCTGCCTGCTGCACTACTCTCCAGATTTGACCTCTTGTGGCTCATACAGGATAAGCCTAACCGGTATGTAGGACTTGCCA